GGACCTGGGAACATTTCAGTTGCATTGCTGTCTATGGGAGGCTCAGAGAGCTCTCGGATTCCATCAAAAATACCTTAATTCGTGTTCCGAAGATGAACGATGGTCTTACGGGTTTGGAACGACATGAGGGTGAGTAATTAATGACAGAATTTTCATTTTGGGGTGAACTATCCCTTTAACAATTTACAGATTAGCTTTACCTAGCGATTCTCAACTCGAGTCCTCGAGGCCCACTGTCCTGCAGAATTCAGCTCGAACCTTGATCAAACTCATCCGCCCATAACTTTTTAGTGATCCTGAAGACCTCGATTAGCTTGTTCAAGTGTGTTTGATCAGGGTTGGAGCTAAACTCTGCAGGAAATTTGACCTCAAGGGCCAGAGTTGAGAATAGCGGATTATAAATTATCGCATTAATTGACCAAAAAGTCAAGTAATTGTTCAAGCAATTCAAATAATACTGGTTAATTACCAAAATAACTACTCCTTGCAGCCCTGTTCTTCAATTACTGGGACCACTTGGACTTCCTGTGCCGCTGTTCACGTTCTCCAGTTCACACACAGACAGTAAGGCAGCTGTGAAGGAGGGGGTGAGGACGTCTTAACAGTTTGACAGCTGCATTGATTATAACAGAGAGGAGTGCGCTGATATCCAAAACCCTTTGACCTCTGCAGCAAACAGCGCTTTACAACACTCCTTCCTCTTATCCACATATCAGTCCGTCTGCGACTTCAAGCCCAACGACAACAGACAAGAGTGAATGCAAACCGAGCAATAAAACCGAATCATTATTGAATGACTATTTCAAACTCTTCTTCTTTAGGTTTATAGAACTCATATCATGAGCTCACTGCACGCAAACTCGGGAGTCTGCAACACCTATAACGTATTTAAAGAAAGGATTCGCTGAGAAATGGAAATTCTGTCATCATTTACTCACCCTCGTAAGAATCCTTCACTAAAAACCACGATCGGCAATTACACATAAACTCTTTTAATTTAATTACGATAGCAGTGCTGACATGGTGAGATGTACAGAGCCAATGACAGCAGTCTCTAAATGTTTTCTCCACTGATTCAGAATAAATTACTTACATTAATGACCCACGCCACCCAGACGACCTCGGAGCATTTCTGTGCTTTTCATTAATCACAGCCTGTAATTACATGATGGAGTCAACAGCCCCTCTGTGACCATTATCAGCGAGTCATAAAGATCCTCCCACAGGCCGCAGACCTGATCCTGACTGAGTGTCTTGCTGCATCACTGGAGGATTTCAACACAAGTGCAGGAATCCTTTACATAAGCAGAGCTCTGCAGGCCTATAACCTGAGATGACATTAAACCCACAGGAGCATGAGACACGGGCTTTATACGGCCTCCTTTCTTCAATAACTTACTGATCAAGATCATTCCCATTGTGCTCCTCTATGAATCAAGTTTTTTTTTGTGTGAATCTTGTTAATGACGAAATGCAAAAATCCCAAAACCGCACTGCATTTCCTCATACCTTCAAATCACATTTATTTCATGACAGACTGATATTTCTGGAAGGCAAATGAATTGTCCAACAGCATTTTAAAATCTGAAAGATTTAAGGGCTCAGACGAACTGGAAAATTTTCAGTCAATTACAACTTAAATTTCGGCAAAAAAAAAAGTACGGCTTCTGTGAACACTGTGAACATTTATGGTGATTATTTTGTCCTTTTGGAGCATGGCAGAGCGAGAACTAAGATTGTTAAAAAAAGTCTCCTTTTGTGTTTCTCAGAAGAAAAAAAAAAGCATAGCAGCATGCATGCCCTTACCAATGCAGAAAAACAGCAAACGGGCTAAATGCAAATGCAAACTCATTTTGTGACAGTAGGTGTCGCTTAAAGAAAAGCAGACAGAGTAGACTTCCGCTTTTGTGTTTCACAGAAAGATAAACAGCAGATTACATCCAAACCAGAAGTGATAAAGCAATAAAAACTCTTATCACTTCCTTCTTGAGTTGTCCTAAACAGCTGAGGAAAGCAACAGGACATTACTGTTATCAAATTCTGCGGCGTTGCACCGAGTAGCTCCACCCACAGTTAAATCTGATTGGCCCAAATTCACGCTAAAATCCGAATCGCTATAAACCCCGTGAGGACGCCGTGTGAAGGCAGAGTAAAATATCATTTTTGGTAGGGCTGCACGATAAATCGCATGTGATTTACACGCGCAGCTCGTCAGCGAACAACGGCTCTGTGTAGTTAATGCTGCTCAATGTGAAAGCACTCACGGCGCGATTTTTTTGCGCAGCTCGTCAGCGAACAACGGCTCTTGTGTAGTTAATGCTGCTCAATGTGAAAGCACTCACGTGATGGAGATTTACCGCTGATTACAGAACCGGCTTTACTGATAAGATGCGCGTTAAATATCGCATGCGATTTATCGTGCAGCCCTACTTTTTGGGTAAAGTATTTCTTTAACTTAAGTGTTATTTCCCCTTGTGTCAGTCCAAATATCTACCAACAGCTTTGTCAGTGGATAAATACCATGTAAAATAACTGCATTTCATTCTAGCATTTGATTTTCTACATCCAGTTTGCTGTTATTCAATTGTTTTAGGAATATCAACTGCCGGTCACTGAAAACCCCATTTAATAAACTCTAAAGTAGGCCTACTGAGCTTATTATATTTGTGACCCTGGAGCACAAAAGCAGTCATAAGTAGCACAGGTATATTTGTAGCAATAGCCAACAATACATTGTATGGGTCAAAATTATCCATTTTAAATGCCAAAAATCATTAGGATACTAAGTAAAGATCATGCTCCATAAAGATATTTAGTAAATTTCCTACCGTAAATATATCAAAACTTAATTTTTGATTAGTAATATGCATTGCTAAGAACTTCATTTGGACAACTTTAAATGTGATTTTCTCAATATTTAGATTTTTTTGCACCCTCAGATTACAGATTTTCAAATAGTTGTATCTCGGCCAAATATTGTCCGATCCTAACAAACCATGCATCAATGGAAAGCGTATTCATTCAGCTTTCAGATGATCTATAAATCTCAATTTCAAAAAAAATTGATAACTGAAATTAGTGGTCCAGGGTCACATACTAATTATAATGTAGATACATGTAAACAGTAAGAAAACTGGTGCCGGGACGCTGAAGCGTGAGCTCGCAGTGGGTCTGATGATGGGAAATCAATCTGATATGCTGATGATGATGATCAGATCATCAGTGTTGCATTGGTTAACACAGGACAGGGAAGCATCACATGCACCTGAACGGTCCTGAGCAATCTATACAGTTACACAAACAAACATAACTCTAATAATGGCTTTAAATCAACACTGGACACTATTATCAAACCTCAGAAGACAAAACGAGTATATGCTCAACCAACCCGCCTCGTTAAACCATTAAAAGCTTGTGTCCGCGTCAACAAAAGCACAAGAACGCAGCGAGAGCAAACGCGTGATAAACGTGAATGTTAATGCGGTGTATCATTGACTTACATTCTCCGCGTCGCGCTCGTTAACGGTGGGCAATGGCGTTCGGGTCGACATCTTGTGTTTACAGGCCGCTCGCTCCAGCGCCGGCGCTCGGTACAGCGAAGATAGCGCGGAAGATACGGATATCCGATGCCCGTCACACCGGCATGTCTCCTGGCCTTCGACCTACGATGCGGCGGCGGCTTTCCGGACTATAACATGAACATATCCAGGAGCGGCCCGCGTCAGCCGCGAGCGAGAGAGAGACGGAGCGACGCGACGCTGCAGATGCGCGGACAGAGCGAGTGTGTGTGTGTGGAACTCAGGCTCCTGCATTGATCCACCCTGATAGAAACACACACACTCACTCTCACACACACACACACACACACACACACAGAGAGAGACAGAGACACAGAGGACGATGATAGAACTCAGAACTTCTGTCGCAAAATAATAAATATATTAGTTTATATGGCTATTTAACCCGTGCACTTGATTAAATAAAAATAGTTTTATTATATTAACTGCATATTTGTGCAAATGCTTTGTCATGACAAGCTCAATCAATGCTTCTTCTATGCAGTGTTTGGGGAAAGTGCATGAGCCTGCACTGCTAAAAAAATGTCTCTTAAAATAAGCAGCTCACTATAATATGCCTCTCTACATTTGACCTACATCACCACCTAATGGATTTAAAACAGTACTGCGTCTCTAACACCATCGCATTGAAAGCTTCAGGGAATTTTTTTTTGATAAACCACAACTAATTGAAGCCTAAAGCGTCTATGCCTAAATGATTCATTTACATTTTATGTTGGGAATATAATCAATAGATTATGAGGTCTCACAATTGTTCCTGTTAACCATCCTCCACGCCGCCAGAGGGAGACAGCATCTGAGCTCTAGAAGTGGTAAAACATACTATACTATACTATACTAAACTTGTTTATTGTCTGTCTGTCTGTCAGAATACAGTTAATTTTGCATGGCCAAATACAGGGGCTGCAACCCATGGTGAAATCCTTGCAATTATCTTTTGTTGTCCATATTCTCTAGTTTGAGTAGCAGTGTAGTATAAGTAGTGTTCAGCAATGTTTAGTACAAGCATTCTGTGAAATAATATGCTTTGTTAGACATCCAAAACGGAGAAATCATGGCAGCCCGTTTAGTGTTTGAAGAACAATAGCCTGTAGGCTTTAAGGGATTGAATAAAGGCATATGAGCTGATCGAACATGTAAAGATGACTTTTTAAAAGGTTAATTCACCCAAAAATGGCCATCACTAACTAATAGCTCCTGAACATGCCTCCCTTCCACCAAAGCTTAAAGAAGACTTCTTTCTGGTCCAGAACCGCCTTTTCTTCAGTGGAAAGGAAGATCTCCATTGCCTTCAGAGAATAAGAAACTCCGGCCCTCACCACTTCATACAAGAACACTTCAGAAAGTATACAGTTTTTTACATTTACAAAACATGAGATCAAACAAGCTTTGTTAAAAAGTGAAATTTTATTGCAACAGCAGAGTATGTGACAGAAGCGTTTGTTTGTTTGTTGCACTATTTTTTTTTCCCCTCCAGAGTCAAGAATACCTCTGGATTTTTATAGAAACCGATATGCAACGTGTGGGTAGCAAATACAAGATAAAACACTGAACTCTTACTAAGCAATAAAACACTATAAATGTATATCAAAACAAAACATTCAAGGCTTTCCAAGTCGTAACATACAGCATACTAAAATCAAGACATCCTTCATTTTACAGGCACTTGAATTTGAACTCAATGAAAAAGTCGTCTTATAAACAGGTTTCTCGACAGTCTGTTTCTATGAGTACTTCTGAATGATATAAAAAGGTCATAAACATAATAAAAACGTCATATAAACAGTACCTTTCTGTACATTGAACAAACAGGACCTTTTAAATAAATTAAGAGGCTCCCGAGACAATCCTTCTAAAATATAAAATTGGTCAGTGCATGGTTTGCGATTACAAACGCACTATATTTTACTACATTTCATCGTTTTGAGTGGGCAAACTCAAACTGAGAAGTGACAGGGCAGCTTTTGGTACAAACCCCATTAAGAACCAAATGTTTGAGGAACCTTCTGAAACATTTCATTAAACGTATGGAAGAAATGGTGGAAAATATATCAAATTCCAAGTCCTTTTGTTCTTGAGGCAAGACACTGAATCTGAACGTTTAGGGTTTTGAGCCATGGCTTGCAGGACGATCCAGTTCTCTCACACTTTACTTTCAGAGGGCAGATCGCTGAGTGCGGCGGAGATGTCGCTGAAAGACAGTCTGTCTTTGGGGCTGGCGGCCCAGCAGCGCACCATCAGCTTGAAGACCCGAGAAGGACACCCCGGAGGAGGAGACAACTTCAGCTTCCCTTCCTGCAGAGCTGTAGAGACACAGATAAAGAGAGTTAGAGATAAATCACAACCGTCAGTCAATATGCAACCCACTTGACTTTTTTTGTGAGGCGCACCTTCTAGAACTTTGTCATCCGCGAGCTCGGCGTAAGGCAGCTCCCCAAAGCTGAAGACCTCCCACATGAGCACCCCAAATGACCACACGTCCGTCTTGGTGGAGAAATCGTCCTCAAAGACGGCTTCAGACGGGAGCCAACGCAGAGGAATTACTTTTGATAAGAAACATAGTCTCATCTTTCAAATTATGTCCTCTTTTTTCTCCAGTAAATGGCGTTTTGGTGTTCTTTGATGTGGCGCGACAGCTCGCTGTATATAGGCCTCAGTTCTACTAGTTTTAACGTGAAATAAACATGAATGAACATGTCATGCCTCATGCAATCACTCAATCAGTGTTTCAACCGCGGAAAGACGGCAATAGTCAAGTCACCTTTATTTATATAGCGCTTTTAACAATACAGATTGTGTCAAAGCAGCTTTACAGTATCAAATAGGAAAATAGTGTGTCAATAATGCAAAATGACAATAGTAAACACTCAATTTTCAGTTAAAGGCAGTTAAAAGCAATACACAGCTTCTACACAAGGTAAGTCATCAGTGTCCACAGCTTGTTAGCTCGCTAGAGACATGAGATCTTCGCCAAATATTAAACTATATACTCATTATATTTTACCTAGTAGTGATGTCTTAATTATTTAATGTATGTTTAAATAAATCTGTTATGAAACAAGTTATGCCAGCCACTGTGTAAATCAATATATTTCAAAAACAACACCTTAAATAACAAGTTAATTAAGAAGTTAAGTAAACTGCATCATGTGCAATGTACATGTTTGCATACGATTTTTTTAAGTTGAGTGTTGATTCTTATATTTAAGAATAAATAGTAATTAGATTTAAGCAGCGGCTATTTGCTAAGTACAAATAGCTATAGATTCTATTTACACTATGTTAAAATAGGATTTTCTGCTATTTATACTACTTAATGCAAATAGTGGCAATTATCTGCACCTCAGTAGTACAGTACATTATAAAACAGTATGCAATAATAACATATTGAGTGTAAATTATAATTTTAATACAAATTATTAAATGGATGCAACCTTATTGGGACAATAAATCCCTCCCTACCCCTACCCGATATTTTGTTTTCAACTTTTTGATTATTTCCTTCATTTTAATTGAAAATAAATGCCTTTCCGGTGTGATATGAGATTTGAAGAGTTCGGCAAAAGGCGGATTCGAACCCGGGTTGATCACGTCAAAAAGACTACGGTACACGCTTTAACATCTACGCCACTGGAGCTGTTGTTAAACATTGTTAGACGATCGTCTTTTGTAGTGGTGAGTATCACACGTTGGTGGGCGGAGTTAGTGTAAATAGCTTCTGCCAACAAGGCGGGCTATTTAGTGTAAATAGACACTCCATTAAATTTAAGTTTGGGCTCTGTTGTTAATTGTAACCTTATAGTAATATAAAAGGGCTCCCTTTTAGAGCATAAGCTGTGGTAGATTTTTAATCACAAGATTTTAACTATAATTGAATTACGAGCAATTTGTTCAATAAACCACTGTTTATTGTTCAGTTTTTCTGAAAACATACTGAACTGTGACGTCAAAACCGAGGTGCATACTGAACCATCATGTTTGTGCACCGTTACACCCCTACATGTCAATACATAACCCATTTGACTTTTTGTGAGACGCACCTTCTAGAACTTTGTCTTCCGTGAGATCGGCGTACGGCAGCTCCCCAAAGCTGAAGACCTCCCACATGAGCACCCCAAATGACCACACATCCGTCTTGGTGGAGAAATCGTCCTCAAAGACGGCTTCAGACGGGAGCCAACGCAGAGGAATCCAGGACTGGCGATAATGGTAGTACTCGCTACTCAAACACAGAAAAGAAACAATGACGACTTGGTCACCACAAGGGGGAAGCAGTGTGCGCGATAATAAGTGGAGAACATTCACAAGCCTGTGAACAATCACTACGGGAAGCTTTTGCATTGGAAAAGATGACTTCAGTGCTCTTTTCATTCCTCATTTTATAAATCAAAGGCTTTGGCTATAAATGTGGATTAGGACTTGCTAGTGAATTTAATTGCTTTAATAAAAAGCGAATGTTGTAGAACGTGTGTTTGGCTGTACCTGTTGTAGACGTCTTTGCTAAGGCCCAGAGCAGACACTTTGATCTGTCGTTTGGAGGAGATCAGGCAGTTACGTGCAGCCAGGTCTTTGTGGACGAAGCGCTGGTTGGACAGGTGCTCCATGCCTCGAGCCACCTGCAGACACACCGACACCTGCGGGCAGACAGCAGAGAGTGAGTGCGGCTAGTCCTGACGCGTGTTTATGTACATATACTGTATACAAGAGAGACTGGAGACAGTTATTAACTACCTTCTGCTTGGTGCTGAGCGGTTGGACTTTGACTTTCTCGTCTTTGCTCTTGGACACTCGCAGGTATTGCTTCAGATCACCCTGAAAATAACACACAGCAAAATGAGACAAGAGCAAGAGTGAAGAAACACATCTCAGGACACAATATTTCAATTAGCACTTCAAAATACAACTAGAATAAAGCCATATGCCACAGGAGCACATTACTGTGATGCTATCGGGGATAAAAGGGGGTGTTGTTAGAAGAGAAGTTTTTAAAACCACTTCAGTCATGGCTAAATTGCACAGCCCTGAGTGTTTCTTAGTGTGAAGAAGTGTAAATGATAAACAGACAGATAGATTAAGGGACAGACAGATAGATGAAGGGATGTGGTGTGTAATGTCAATATCCAAAGATAGATGGATAGAGAAAGACATAATAAAAGTGATTAAAGGATGAAATGCAAAGACAGACAGACAAACATGTAAACAGATGGACATATAGATAGATAAATAGACAGACAGATGATTAGACGGACGGACGGACGGA